GTGTGATGCCATCATGTCAATATGGACCAAAATCTCTGAGGAATGCTTCCAGCACCTTGTTGAATCTATGCCACGAAGAATTAAGGCAGTTCTGAAGGCAAAAGGGGGTCCAACCCGTTACTAGCGTGGTGTACCTAATAAAGTGGCCGGTGAGTGTATAAAATCCACTGACATATAGCCAGTGTTGTGTTTGCATGCCTGATCATCTTAAATTGAGTTTTATGTACAGAAAAAAACTAAGTTCACTTTTTATTCTTCATAAAAAAATGCAGTTTGTTTCACAATGCAGGTTATAAAGATTATACAAACAATCGATTCTTACAGCTCAACAGAACTTTCCAGATCTGGTAAAGTTCTAAACGTTGCCAATTCTGCAAAGAGCCAAACAAGAAAATGTACCTAAAAATATTGAAAGTACTTTTTTTATTTTTGGGAAGGAAGCTATAATTTAAGAGCGTGTTTGTCAATTGAAAGTTGTTATTGTGCGCACTGTGAGGAAGTATTTTTGTATTTGTGTGTGTGGAGGGAAATTTGTGGACTAAAAGGAGTGTAGAGTTGTCTATTATTTCCATTAATGGTTTTATAAATAAGGAATTAGACCAGTAGAAACTGATAACAACTGGTGAAGGAGTGAGTTTATAAGTAGCATTTCTTCCCACTCCCTTTACAAAAAACTATGACACGTTATTTTATTTTATGTTTTGTAGGTTCTTCTTTATCTCTTGCTTCTCTCGTCATTGCTTTAAGGGGGGTTGTTATGCAAAATGAAAATCTTTGAACTTTATATCATGTTATAATGTCATTCCCTCAACAAAAATCATACTCAGAATGTTGTTTTGACTCATTCATCCCTGAATCTCCTGTGGTAGCCATGTGGAACTGCCTAAACGCTTGCTGGTACAAAGCACCGCCTATTTGAACAAAGCTCCTSCCTGGAGCTCGGYCCTCAGCTGAGCTCCAGCCAGATCACCCCTCCCCTGAAGCATTGTTGTAAGGACATGATGAAGCAGAAGCGTTAGAAACAGTAGGGGGTTGACACATTTTCATAACAACTAGTTATTTTACCATGGTAAAGAATTGAACGACGTGCCAGGAAAATACACAATACCCCCCCTTTAAAATGATTTTCTGTATAAAGTTCACATTTTTGAAATAAATCAAACAAACATGGTGAGTAAAACCCCAAAACACATTACGGCAAAGGCTGGTTCAMCCCAAAGATHCGGTGCCCCGGCACAAACAGAGCAATGTTGTATATGCTGTTAAGTGCCAGGAGGACTGCGACCAGTTATACATCGGGGAAACAAAGCAACCACTGTTCAAAAGAATGTCCCAACACAGACGAGCTACATCTAATGGCCAGAACTCTGCAGTTTTCACTCATTTACAGGCCAGCGGTCACTCTTTCAGAGATGAGGATGTTCTCATTCTTGATAGAGAGGAACGTTGGTTTGAGAGAGGAGAAAAAGAAGCCATTTTTGTGAAGAAAGACCGTCCATCATTAAACAGAGGTGGAGGCCTCCGTTTTCAGTTGTCCCCCTCCTACAGCATTGCTATAGCCAGTATCACTCCACCCCCTGTTAACAATAGGTGTTAATTAGGTGTCGACGATAGCCATGTGATGTGAGTATCAGTCACATGGAGGCAGGGCTTAAAAGCCTGAATTTTGCCTGAAACTCAGACTGAAGAAGTCTCTTGGAGGAGAGACGAAACGTTTCATTAGAGAAGAACCCGTCCAGAGGACCTATACAATTTTTTTCTTTTTGATTTTTTACCTGGATTACTGAGATGCATCAGGACATGGTGAGTAAAATGGGTAGGAGTAGAGATTTTTGACGGATAATATGGTTATAAATTTGATTAAACCTCTTGTTTTGTCTCAGCTAGATTACTGTTCGTCGGTACAGTCTGGAGCTTCGGGAGGCATCCATCCATCCATCCATTTTCTGTACACGCTTCTTCCTGTTCAGGGTCGCGTGGGTCACTGGTGCCCATATCCAGCAGTCACAGTGCGAGGGGCGGGGTACACCCTGGACAGGTYGCAAGTCYATCRCAGGGCCACACATAGAGACAAACGAGACAAACAACCATTCACTCTCTCACTCACACCTAGGGACAATTTAGAGTTATCAATTAACCTAACAGTCATGTTTTTGGTCTGTGGGAGGAAGCCGGAGTACCTGGAGAGAACCCACGCACGCACGGAGAGAACATGCAAACTCTACCCAGAAAGGCTGTGACCTCTATTTTTATTTTTATATTTGTATTTGTATTTGTTATTTATTTATTGTGCAGTTATTGTTGTTTTGAATTCATGTGAACTATGTATGCTATGTATTTTGTGTTGTTTTATGTTTAATGTGTGGACCCCCAGGAAGAGTAGTTGCAAAAACTGCAACTAATGGGGATCCAAATAAAAGAAAAGAAAGRAACGGGGCAGTACTGGTTTTTAAATTCCTAAATTGAATGACACATAAGGGTTAAAATGGGACTGGATTCTCTACAGTTCTTTTCTCTAATTTTTTTTCTCGTTACTTTCAGGAGTTTTGATTGTTTGGACACATTATCCGAGTAAACAGACCAGGATTAGGTGAAGTACATTAATCTGATCAATCCCCAACTGTAACATTAACCCATATAAAMTTAATTCAAAGTAAACAAACCGGAGGCAGAGATGAAAGTGTGAATTCTTTTAATCCGCCAAACACTTCTTTAACACATATTCCATGCCACTACAAGGGCTATTTCTCTCTGTTCTCACATAAACCGCTGCTCTCCAGCAGATTCCAGGTCTCCGTTGCAAACTTTTTTTTTTCTTTTTGCACAGCGAGAGGCAGCCAGACATGCAGAGGGACACCAGGTGGTGTTTGATGGCACTCATGTTGCGCTATATGCTCGCTGTCTTAGAGATAATTCACGCCTAACATCTGCTCTGCGGCTTTAGCTCGGCTTGGAATCGATTGAGGACTGTCAGAGAAAATTATTATAGGACTTTGAAGCATGTTTTCAATGTGCCTGAAAACCTGCAGTAAAGTCCATGTTTTGGTAAGACCAGGGCTCTCAGCATTCACACTGCATTTTTACAGAAAATACTTTACCTTTTTTCTTCATCTTATTACTTTGTGTGGTCATCAGTAACAGAATGAAGATTTAAGCATTGCCGTAAGAAGAACAAACATCAGGTTCATCATTCTTTTTTATGCCGTGACTCCTCTCTCAACTCTTCCACTACAAACAGCCAATGTTTTAGGGAGTAAATATAAAACCGTCACCAGCAACACTTGATGATGCAGCAGAGGGAGAGCCAGAAGGAGAACATTTCATGCGAGCGAAACGGCAGCACGGACTGACTCAAGGTTCCAGCAGGGAGCGAGACTCAGTCAGCTCCGTCTCCAACAGCGGGGACATTTTCCAGGAAGTCTCTGCCATATATGGGTGTCACTAGCTTATTGTGTATTTTTTATGTAACTACATGCTCTAACACCACCTCACTGACTTTTGTTTTCTCTCTTTCACACAGACACATTTGTAAAATCCACAACTTTATTCCAGACCCTCATTTTTGTGCATGACTCACACTCATAACCTTTTTTTTTCTTCAATACCCGTCTTATCTTTTATGCACTTTCCTGACTTTATCATCCTGTCCACATTCGTGTCCTTAAAACAGAAGGTGGAACAAAATGTTTTTGGTCGTTGCATCATCCTCTGAATCATCTGTGACCCAATGGGGCTGTGCGCAGCAAGTAACTAAATAATTACAGCCAGGATGAAAAACTTGAGTGTGCAGTTGCATAACTAATGATAACAGCCAGAGCTCAAGCTGTGCAATCAAAAAATAAATAAATAAATAAATTGAAATTTGCTAAAGCTTTGAGCTAATTACCAAATCCACACAAGGCTGAATGTTTGGTGCATTAGTGAGAGCTGATTTCAGTTTCCTGGAAAAAAACACTCCTGGAATTAATTAATGATTTTTTTGAACATGTTTGTCTTCTGTCTCCTCTAAAAGAGGTGTTTATTTTTATTTATTTTGGTGTACCATCAGGCACAAACAATAGAGGCGATACAAAAGCAAGCTCTCACAGCTTCATGACATTTCATTAGTATGTCAGGTGAAAAGCAGCTAGCGGGGAGCTGCAGGATTGAGTCACCAGCCCCTCTCATCTTTACTCCCTCTCCCTCATTTTTGTGTGTGTGTGTGTGTGTGTGTTACCTCTCTCAGCACTGTTTGCATATCTTTCCACTCTCCCTTGCGAAATTGTTCTCATTTGAATTCTGCATCCAGCTAGACGCAGCTCACCTATCCGCACCCTCGCAACGCCAGATGATCTGAAGAAACCCTGATTTCTTTGTAGYGTTTGTTCACACTGTGCTGCAGCGTGGATGGACGTAATGAGYGTGAAAACTAGACAATCTGATGAGGACATTTTAGGACACAAAACTCACTGGGTGTGAAACACTGTAAACATTCCTTTTGTATTAACGCACCGATGCATGAGTAAAAATAAACACTCTTTTTTTGCTTGTTTTGCAAGATGCTTAATTGCAGTCACACAAAAAAGAAAGGACAAGAAGGGAAATAAAACAGCTTTACCAGACGCTGGAGATTTGCTGCGGTGTGTTTGAATAACAGTCCTGGGGGAGCATCGGTTGACAGAGCCCGACATCTTGCCATAGGTCACTGACTTCATCATACGGCACTCTGCAAGCACAAAAAAAAATCAGATGCAGAACTGTTCAGGGAAGCACAAATACCTTTGATTTCATTAATCGATCCAATAAAACATCTGCTAATAGTAGCATGCTATCTACTGATTTCTGAACACAGCTGGGCTAAACTTCAGGACTCCTCCTGCAGAAATATGGAGTTCCATTTGTGCCAAAATGTGTTGTTGAGCCTTTGTCCATGTTCTCAAACCTTGTGTTGACACATGGACAAAGGCTCAACAACATATTTTTGGCACAAATGGAACTCCATACAGAAACGGGTCACTTTCCAGAGAAAAAGATCAGTGTTTCAGGCGGGACAGCTAGGACTCATACTTTGCAGGCATATGATTAAAATAAATGAGCCTTATGATAGTACTTACACACCCTCCCGGCCTTTTCCTCCACAAAACTTTCCTCCTCTCCTGTTCATTAACCCAGCCCCATTATAGCTCATTAACATTTAAGACAAGTGGAGAGAAGCCCGCTCCCATGGTATGTGTGTGTTGATCTGTGTGTGATTAATGCACGATGCGGCGCGTTAACGCGATGACAGCGTGCCAGAGTTAAAGCAGAGGCGATAATTATAGCGGTGCTGAAAGGAGGCGAAGATGTGTGCAGCTCTGACTCCGACTGTCTGTCGGTTTTGTTTGTCACTCAGTGTTCCTGTCTGCCTGTTCCTGCCTCCTGCGCCCTGTCTGCCAGAGGATGACGAGGTGTCATGCTCCACAGGAAACACCACAGACACACAGAGTGTTGCTTGGATCCCTTTGACTTCCATGCATCTGTGTCTGGGTGTGTTTTGGGTGCGTTTCGCTTTAAATGCTGACATTTAGAATATTATTTACCCTGACTGGGAGCATGAGAGGTTTTTTTTTTCAGTTTGTTAGGATTCACATTTGTGAGCAACCTGTGTGTGACAAGTTCTTGCTTTAATTATATACCCTGCATTTCGTTAGCATAACAAACCTGTACATTAAAAACAACAGTACAAAGTTCTAATTATTTTATTATAGAACACATTAAATCTGTGTGTATATACAGTATGCATGCATGCAT